CCCGCATTCGCCGCACTGTAATTGCATTGCTTAATGTTACCCCTACTGCACTTGAGACCGAACTGAACATCACAAAGTGTTGCGGCTCAGCGATCAACCTCTCTTCCTCGTCGCCAACCGCCGGCAGTCCATGCTCGCGGAAATGCTGAAGAGCCCCGATGCAAGTTCCAGCCCGACAAAAGCTTTCGCGTCCAACACCTTCGACAAAGTCTCCGGGGTTTGCTCGGTCAGACTCACGTCCATCAGCAGACCCGCCAGGTGGAAGAGTCCATGTACTTCGTGCGTCCTCATAATAACTTCCAGAGTTCCCAAGACCGAGTCATAATTGCTCACGTCGCACCCCATCACATCTACGCAGACTGAGGTTTCCTGCAGCTTCGCAAACTCAGCGTTCTCCCGCAACTTGTCAGTCAAACCAGAACGTGAGAGCAAGACAATGCGTTCCGCGCCCTCCGTCACCAAATAATTGGCTACTAATAGACCCAAGGCTCCGGTACCGCCTGTAATAACATACGCGCCCGGCCGCTTGACATTTGTCTTTGTCAAACTGCGGCGACGTACACCACCCTTCATGCTGCTGCCTGGCCGCACTTGACTCCGCTCCACGGCCGTTGACAGACTAAGTGGGTCATAGCCGTTATCCGCGCGGCACACGATCTCCTCGTTCGAAAGCGGAGGCGTGGAACAACTAGGGATCGAAATCACCACCTTACCGATATGCTTCGCTCGCTGCATAAACCGGAACGCCGCCAAGCCACCGTGAGAGCTGTGAGTCATCGGGAACACGTGCAGTGGAAGCGGCTTGATACTGCCTTCGTCCACAAGGTCTGTTATGCGATTCAACATCGAGTTGAACCACACGCGGTCCTCCTCCATCATGCAGTCGATCGCGATCGTGTGGTACTCCACGTCCGGGCGCTCAGCCAGCATCTGCTCCTTGCTGTAAATGTCGCGCTTGCCCAGCTCCAAAAACACACCGCCAGTCTTCAAGAGCTTCAGCGAGTTCGGAATGAAGTCCCCAATCAACGAGTTCAGAACCACGTCAACCTTTCCGCCGCTGCCGAGGTACTGCTCCGTTTCCTTCAAGAACGCGGCCGGATCTCGCGAAGACGAAACAAATCGCGCCCCATGCTTAATCGCCGCCGCTCTCTTCGGCTCAGAACATGTGCCGACGGGAACAGCACCCTTACGCAGGCAATGCTGTATGGCAGAGAGCCCTACGCCGCCAGTAATGGCGTGAATGATTACTTTTTGTCCTTCGCACACGTGTGCGCAATCTTCGAGCGCATATTCGACGGTGGACGCAATCACGGGTAGGGCAGCCGCAGACTCGAAACTTAGTCTGGGGGACATTTTGCTGATCAGATGCTGGTCCGTGACGGCGTACGTCTTCAGGCAGCCGGGCGCAATACCGAAAACTCGGTCTCCGACTCGGAGGTTCTCGACCCCAGGTGAAACAGCGCTGACGATGCCAGCGAAGTCGCCGCCCGGGGGGCCGGGGTCACCGGGGTAGAGGCCCATTACATTTAGGACGTCGCGGAAGTTGAGGCCAACACCGTGGACGCGGCACTCGACATAGCCGGCTGGCGGGCAGGTAGCGCGTTCGGCCTGCGGACGCAGGCTGAGGTTGCTGATAGCGCCACGGGAACTCATGTGGAGCTCGACGGAGCCAGTGACGTTGTGGTTGACGCGGTTGATGCGCGCGACATAGGAGACCATTTCCAGCGCCCCATCACTTTCACCCAACACAAAGTTCGGCTCCCCGACCAAATTGAATCCGCCGCTTTGGTTGGACATAGCGCCTGGGGAGTTGATTGCGCCTGGGGAGCCCACGGCCATTGGCGACTGGGCCCCGGAGGCAGCGGCCGTGTTCGGTCTCGTCCCGTTCGCGCCCGTGGGGGAACCCAGCGGGGGGGACATCCGCGGCGAGAAGCCAGAGCCGATAGAGTGAGGAGACATCACAGGGGACATGTCACCGGCGTTGATCAAGTCCTCTTCGCGGATCTTGACTGGCTGTTTCCGTAGGGCGACCTGTAGTTCGTCCAATCCTCGGCGGATAATGAACATCATGGACTCGACGAGAGCGTCGGTGGAGTGCACATCTACCATGCACAACTTGTACTTGCTCCCCGTTAGCAGCAGCTCCAGGTTAGCCGAACGCCAGAAACCCCAAAGTGACGCGTTGACCGGCTTCTGCTTCAGGTCCTGGTTCGGCATCACGGCCTGCGTCTGGTTGGTGAGGAAGTAGTGGAAGGGCAACTTGTAGCTGTTTGTCTTGTCAGCGTTGCTCATGCGCTGTGCCAGGTCCAGGGCATACTCGATGGTGCGTTTCTCCCGTTCCAGCTCCACATCTTCGATCGCAGCGACGGCGTCATCACGGGTCTTGGGCGACACGGCATCGACGTCCGCGCCCGCTTCGATGACGGGGTCGATGTGGAAGACAGCAGAGTTGATCAGCTTGTCGTCCACAACCTCCGCCTCGTGTTCGAAGAGCGCGTCTAGACTTTCGAACCAGCGCCACTCGACCTGGGGCAGATCGTCGATGGTGTCCAGTTCGAAGCGTTCGTACTGTTCGGCGATGAGTGCTCAGCGAGAGCGCGTTGTTTGGTGACCAGTGCGATGCGGACGGCGAATTCCTGTTCCTCGGTTCGTTGAAGCTCGGGGAAGTTGCGGAGGTCCCAGGTCGTGCGGTAGAGGAGATCTCGAGGCACCTCGATGCGTTTCTCGATGCTGATCTGTTTGAGAGTGACCTTTTGCAGGAGACACACACAACGTCGGGCCTCAGTGAAGAGCGTCACATCGACAGTGACCTGATCGGCCTCGCGAGAAGTGATCTTAAGATGTGCGTAGAGTGGGTCCGTAGGGCCAGCGGTGGAGAGGAAGACTCTCTGGATGGCGAAGGGGATCATGGCCTTGGCGTTGTGTTCGTTTTGCTGGGCGACAAGGACGGCGGTTAGGTGGAGTGCGCCGTCCAGAAGGGCGGGTGAGACACGGAACATGGCGTCCCAGAGCTCGTAGGCCTTTGTCTTGAGCACGCCCACGGCTTCGTCCAGTGTGTCCGGCTTGACCTTGGCGCTCTGGAGTGTGCGGAAGCGTTCTCCGTAGTTGAGGCCGAAGTCATCGAGGACGTCGTAGAGGCGCGCGGTTTCGAGGTATCCGGTTTTGGCGGCGTCTGAAGGGAAGGGGCCGGCCCAGTCTTCCGGCCAGGTGACAAGTTGATCGAGCTCTTCTTGTTTGAGTTCGACGCCGATGCGTGCTGTGCAGTGGTCTTCGACATCTTCCTCTGCGTCAGTGAAGGTGCTTTGAACAAGGAGGTTGCCACGAGTGTCGATTTTGAGCAGCATGGTGGGGATGCGCGCACCCGCTTCATTACGATTTGCGTCTTGCTTATTGCTTTCCTCCGACCAGTCTTCAACGACGAAGGGTTTTTCGAAGAGCACGTTGTCTACAGTCTGAACAGTGCCGGGTGTGTTGTGGACGCCATGAGCCTTAAGGCCTGCGGCGGATACCATGAGCTCGACCAAGCCGACACCGGGGATCATGGGTACTCCGCGTACGGCGTGATGTTGCATGTAGCGGCGTAGTTCGTCGCGCATATAGCAGCGTGTGAGCGTCTCGCCAGTCTTGGGGTCGACCTTCTGGTAGGCGACGACGGGGTGATAACAGGTCTTCCAGTGGTAGGGGCGCATCTGCCAGGCAATCTTAGAGTCGGATCCGACGCCCAACATCTGGGGTATGCGGTGGAGGGCAGGTTGTCCGTCGACTTCTTGGAGACACCACACAAGTTGAGTTTCAAGTCGTGAGTTAGCGAGACAAGGCCTTGCCATGCCGCAAAGGACGGCTTTAGGGCCGAGTTCGACGAGGAGGGTAGCCCCCTCATGGTCCACGGCATATCGGATTGCGTCATGGAAGCGGACGGGTTTGGTGATGTGCTGGGTCCAATAATTGGTTTCGAGCAGCTTGGTAGTCTCACGCTCTCCCGTCACGGTTGAGATGAAGGCGGTTTGTGGCATGGGGTCAGCCAAGGCCACCTGGTCCACAGCCTTGGTGAACGGCTCGATCGTCTGGGTCATCAGGGGAGAGTGGAATGCGTGCGACACGTCCAACTGTTTGCCACGACCCTCCATGCCCAACGCCTTCAACAACGCTGCCACCTGTGTATCCGGACCGGAAAGGACGACGACTTAGGCCCATTTATTGCCGCCACCGCAACCTGCACTTCCGGTTCGGTGCTAGTGCGATCTTTCTTCATTTGTTCAATGCAACGGAGTGCTTCAGCCACATCAGCGCGGCAGGCGTGCATGACTCCACAGTCATTCGGAGTGTCCGACATAATTTTCGCCCGCGCCGCCACTAGCGTCAAGCCCTCTTCCAGCGTCATCACCTTGCTTACGACCGCCCCCACGTACTCACCTAATGAATGTCCCAAAACCATGTCCGGAACCACGCCGAGCTTCTCAAAGTAGGCGGCCAAGGATACCTCGAAGGCGAACAACAGCGGCTGAGCGTAGCGCGTGTTGTTCACGTCCTCAGGACCTGCACTAGGACCTTCGGTAGCATCGTCGGGGTCGGAGTCGTCAGCATGGTCGCCAGCAGGGTGACTATGAGGCCAGAGATCTGGGTAGATGATGGCACGGATGTCGACGCCGATGAGTGTGAGTAGTTTAGTGGCACAGAGATCGAATGTGCGGGTGAACTCGCTCTTTTCGTCGTACAGTGCTCGGCCCATGTTGACGTGTTGGGAGCCTTGACCGGTGAACATGAAGAGGACCTTCGGTCTAGCTGTGATACTGGTAGGGTTGCGGTCCTTGAGTAGGTGTGGGGGGCATTCTTCCAGGATGACGTGAGCATTGGCGCCACCGAACCCGAATGATGAAATACCACACATGCGTTTGTTGGAGGTAGTGGCTGGCGGGTAGGGCATGTCGTCGGAGGGCAGGAGTAGAGGGAAGTCATCTAGCTCGATATATTTATTCAGCTTGCTGAAGTGTAGATTGGGTGGAATGTGTTGGTGAGTGAGGCAAAGAATCCCCTTAAGTACGCCGGCAGCGCCACTAGAGCCTTCGAGATGTCCAATGTTGGTCTTGCTGGCTCCAACGATGATATGGTCGGGTCGTCGGCCATATACGGATTTCAGTGCGTTCATTTCGATAGGATCTCCGAGGGCAGTGCCAGTGCCGTGCGCCTCGATGAACGTGACGTCTTGGGGCTGCAGGTTACCGCAGGCAAGTGCATCCCGGTAGCTCTGGGCCTGCGCAGGGCCATTGGGTGCTGTAAGAGAGGCCGATTTGCCGACATGGTTAGTACTGGTTCCACGAATGAGTGCGTAAATTGCATCCTGAGACGTAGTCGCCGCTTGGAACGGCTTAAGCACAAAGGCAGCCGCTCCTTCGCCGCGGACATACCCATCAGCGGAGTCGTCGAAGGTCTTACACTTACCGTCCTTGGAAAGCATGCGTGCCTTGGAAAACGCGATGAAGAGCTGCGGAGAGAGCATAATGTTAACTCCACCTACAAGAGCCACGTCTATTTCTCCAAGAACCAGCTTCTTGAACGCCAAATCAAACGCAAAGAGCGTGGAGGAACAGGCCGTGTCAACTGTGAGTGAAGTGCCCGCGAGACCGAAGCAGTACGAGATACGGTTGCTGATCACTGAACTGGCGCCAGATGTTCCCGAAAAGACCATAATATCATCGTTGCCATACAATGAGGTCCAGTCGGAGTTACAGTTTCCGATCAACACACCAACGTTACGGCCGACCAACTCGGGTTTGCTGTAGCCTGCATCAGCCAAGGCCTCGGCTGCGCAGGTCATCATCACACGCTGTTGTGGGTCCATGGATTTTGCTTCAACGCTTCCGATGCCAAAGTAGCTGGCATCGAACTCGTGTACTCCTGTCATGAATCCACCTCGACGCACATAGCACTTGCCGCGAGCATCAGGGTCTGGATCGTAGCATTCATCGAGGGACCAACGTGTGCAAGGAACGTCCACGATACAGTCTTTACGGGCCATCAATGTGTCCCAAAACTGTTCTGGCGAGTTGGACTCACCAGGCAACCTGCAACCCATTCCGACAACAGCAAGACCTTCCGCCATCGTGCCAATACGTCCTATGGTCGGAACTTTGGTAATATCTCCTGGTGTTACCGCTTCATGTTCCACAACACTGATGACATGCTCCACAATACCACCAAGAGTTGGGTAGTCAAACAAGGTCGTTGCGGATAGTTTAACACTCAACTTTTTACTCAACGTGTTCCTGAACTCAACCGCGCCCAATGAGTCTACTCCCAACGAAGTCAACGCCGTATCCAAGGGGGAACTACGCTTGTATCCAACACCTGCTTCGCTGTCTGTACCACGCACTGCGTAACATACTCACGCCTCTCCACCGCACTCATCCGCTTCAACAGTCCTGCACCATCCTCCTCTGTCTGTTCCGCAATCGCCGCCTGCTGCAAGTTGTCGTAGAACCGCGGTACCTCTGCGGAGTAACGCTGCATCCATTCAGACAACCTGAATGCAACACAACCTACCACTGGCGCGCGACTGATAACCTCACCATCGGAGACAGGCACATCGGAGCCACATAGCACTTTTGCTGGTGATCCAGACGGCCCCTGTCTCAGGAGGTCAGCTAGAACACGAAGACCGAGTTCGTTAGTAATACCCTTTAGCCCCACCTTATCCAACTGGTTACGGAACTTCGACGCCATGCCTTGTTCAACCCAAGGACCCCACTGCACGGACAGTGCTGGCAACCCACACCGGGAACGGTAGCATGCCAATGCGTCAAGACACGCATTCGCTGCTGCATAGTTAGACTGACCATAGTTACCTAGTAACGACGCCATAGACGAGAATAGTACGAATTGCTTCACGCTACCGGGCTCCAGGTTCTCGCTCTCACGGTGTAAGTTCCAAGCCCCCTCGACCTTCGCTCTATAAACCTCCTCCACAGCACTGGGAGTGAGTTGGTGCAGACTACCATCAGCCAACACACCCGCACAATGGAAGATCGCCACGACCGGGGCATTGGAACTAAGAACCAGACGCACTTGATCACGATCAGCCACGTCACAACCCAAGGTCTCCACTGTTACCGACGGCAACGACTGCAGGAAGCGAACGGCATCCTGCTCGTTCGGGTTTCTCGCACGACCCGTACGACTACACAACACAAGACGCTTCACACCTTCCTCAACCAACCAATTGCCCAACACCAATCCCAACGACCCCAATCCACCCGTCACCAAAGTCACTCCCGTTCGTGCTTCTTCGCATACCGCAGACGGGAACGTCACCACCACCTTACCCAAATGATTCGCGCGCTGCAGGAACCGGAACGCGTCCACCACCTCTTCACCCCGACTCACCACCGGGAAGGTTTTGATCGGCAACAAAGGACCGGCAGTTTTGCCGTCCTCTTGACTATGTAGCCACTCGACTGCATTTCCCAACAAGACTCCGTATGCCTCCGGCTCCTCTGCAACCATTTCGTCGATGGCGAGAACTTCGTATCTGACATGAGGCTTGACCTCTCTAACACGCTCTTCAGGCCAGATTTCGCGCTTGCCGAGTTCGATGAAGACACCATCCTCCTTAAGCAGGTCAAGGGATGCCGGGATGTGTGCACCAGTGAGGCAGTTGATAACCACGTCGACCTGGCCGGTTAGATCGGCGAATGTTTCACGGAAGTCCTTCGCGCATCTCGAGTCGCCCACTCGTTCGACTCCTAGATGGGTGAGTGCGAACTCGCGCTTTTTCTCCGAACAGGAGCCATAAAGCTCAGCGCCCACGCGACGGCAGTATTCGGCAACCATGCATCCAACACCTCCAGTAACCGCATGTACGAGAACCTTTTGCCCGGACTGGAGCTGTGCGATTTCGCACAGTGCTCGATACATGGTAGTCAGAATGACGGGGAGTGCGGCTGCGTACTCGAACGGCATCGTCTGCCCTGATGGGTCCTGTCCTGACGGGCTGGTCTGCGGCATTTTGGTCACGAGCTGTTCGGAAGTGGTGGCGAAGTGTTTTAGACAGCCGGGGGCGATGCCGAAGACATCATCACCAACATTGAAGTGTGTCACCGCCGAACCTATGCATACCACAGTACCAGCAAAGTCCGTGCCAGGCGCGCCCGGGTCGCCAGGGTAGAGGTTCATGACGTTGAGTACATCGCGGAAGTTGAGACCAACCGCTCTCACACGTACTTCTACCTCAGTTTCTGCCGGGGGTGTGCGTGCCGCGTATGGCATGGCCCGCACACTCAGATTCGACAGTGCGCCGCGCTCACGCATTACTACCTCCACCGGACCTATCGTACGCCTTCCGGCACCGTAGACCGACAGGCGCGCAAACTTTACTATCCAGGGAGAGAGTTCCGTTCCAGTTTCCTCCAAAACCGCGGTTTGTTCCGCAGCCGAGGTCGTGGGTTCGATTCCCTCCGTTGCCGAATTCTTTGCCGGTCGCGCACGCACGAGGATTTCACACTCGTTCTTGTTCTCCAGACGCTTCAACACAGCGGCAACATGTTCGATCTGCATGGTCCATTTGCCACCGCGGGGATCGAGGTCTACGCAGCAGACCTCCTCCGTCTCGCCGGTTGCACTTTCGATCTCCAGCCGGGCCGTTTTGACTGTGGCCCATATACCTGCATGTCGAGGTACTACGGGCTCACAGTCACAGTCATCCACAGCTGGTTCAGTAGGATCGTCTACAGCTCCTTGCGTTAGGAAGCAGAGAGTGACGTGCTTGCGACCGGGCGAAGTGCGGAAACGGCTGTAGGCCTGGAGTGCCTGCAGGGCATGGACGACGCCGTCACACTCGTTGGTTTCGGGGTCCAGCCCAACGGCGGAGAAGAGGTGAGTGAACTTACCCGAGGCGAGAGCAGCCTCCACATCCTTACCACTGTCGCGCATGTCTCGGACTTCGATTGCGGTCCAGGTGGCCGGCAGTGCCTCCCGCAGCCAAGTGGCGCCAGCAGGTAAGAAGAACCCGGTGCCGAAAAAACTGGATAAACTTTCCGTAGTGGGTTGGTCTCCAGCTCCGACAGAGCTTGGCTCAGACAATCTGCCTTCGGAGGGTCCAGGTCCTTCCGATAATTTGTTACCTTCAGAGACGTCAGTAGTGTCCAGTTCCTTGTCGAGCCACTGGCGGACCCACAAGAGATCACGTGGTATGTCAGCTTGTACATGGTTGCGAAGTTCCATCTTTTCGAACACCACGTTTTCCATGGTGGCGAAAGGTGTTTCACCTGGCTGAAAACGGTTGTACAGCCTGACAGTTACGGTTGCTCGTTTGTTGTCAACAAATTCAATGAGCCTGCAGTGCGCGAAACACTCGCCCAGACCCTTGGAAGGGAAGAGTACACCCTTCCCGACGGAGACAGGGACCATTGTAGTCTTCTTGCTGGGTGATGCGGTCTCCAATAATAGTCCTGAAAGCTGGAGTGCGCCATCGAGCAGCGTAGGGTGCACAATGTAGCCCTTCTCGAACTCAGACATGTTTTGGCTCGGGGAAGGTACCACTCGCAACTGCCCAATAGCATCGCGAGCACGACGACATACTTTCACCACTGTACGGAACCTCGGTCCATACTGGAGACCCACGGACCGCAACCTCTTGTAGAAAACACCCACGTCTTCAAACGGACCCTCGTGCCACCACTCATCAATACCAACGGCCAGCGGCTCTGCCGCTGTCACGTTCGGCGATGCGGAAATCGTTGCTACCGTGTGAACCAGTTCAAGACGTTCATCCGCCCTCGAGGAGCTTAGAGTAATCCGGTTGTCTGGCATGACTGTACAGCAAATCATCACCGCTGGGCTCGATCGATCTGGCGCCGCCACAGCCACGGCAGCCGCCGTGGCGCCCTCCAAAGCCGGGAACGACGACAAGGGCGATCGCGGCAGATCCTGTCTCGGCGAAGACTCGTCCAGAAATGCACGCTTCGGCGTCCGTGTCACCTTTCCTACGTCCAGGTCGCCTGAGGGAGAGTCAGACCCGGAAGGAGAGACGGCCGATGAGGATTGGGCTTCGTCGGGCGTCGAACCCCCGACCCTAGGCACAGGCGTAGAACCGAATTCGAAAGCACCCGGATTTGCAGTCGGTATCACCAACGGTGACTCGATATACATGTTCTCGATCGTCATCCCGCTCGATACCGGATCCACCAGACCCAAACTCTGCGCCGCGGCCGCGCAGATCTCCAGGTAGCCTGCGCCAGGCAAAATGGGCAAATCGTTCACAGTGTGATCTGCTAGTAGACTGATTGTGCGTAGTGGCAGCACCGCTCGGAATTGTGCATCGCCGTTCCGCAAACTGGTAAGGTTCTTGCTTGCCGCAATCGGGTGAGGGATCTGGCGCCAGGGGTAGGGCAGTCTCTTGCTCGAGCGTTGCACCATCTCACGGTTCGCACGTCGTTCATGCATCTCCTTTTGGATACGACCGCAAAACGCGATCTGCCGTTGCACACTGGACACAGCTGGCTCAGTTGCGGAATCAGTCGCCTGGTCAGCATTAGGAGGGTGGAACACGTTGGTCCAATGGAGGTCGATAGCCGCAAGATTGACGTTTTGGTTCAGCACATCTTGATGTTTAAGACTTGGGCTGAACTCCACTAGTACCCGGGTATCAGCGCTAACGATTTGCTTCAGTGCCTCGCCAATGTAGAACGTGTCCCAGAGGTGTCCGGCCCAGTAGCTGGGTGAAACTGCTTCTTCGTCAGACAAAAAGGAGCCATGGCGAGCTAACATCTTCCGTTTGGGTGTGTGAAGCTTAACAGACTGTCGGATAAACCGTTCGAACTCCTCTCCAAACCTTTCCCGGTAAAGCGGCGACTGGAGCGGATGGCAGCAATCCAAGTATCTCGCGCGACCACCGACCTGGCCAAGTGCCAGCAACAGTGTGTCCACATCGCCTCGCTGGCCCGAAACAAGGACGGAACGCTCGTCATAGACGGCGGCCAATCCGATGCTCTGGGCAGTACCCGGTCCAACCTCCGCCAGTGCCAATTCCACGTCTTCTCTCGCTGACGTCAGCAAGACACACACTCCCTCAATTTCTTCAACCAACGCGCATTTCCTAACCACGAAAGCTACCGCATCCTCCAAATGCATAACGCCCGCCATCACTGCCGCAACGACTTCGCCTACGCCTTCACCGATCACACCATCAGCTTCCACTCCAGAGGCAGCCCACGCACACGCAATGGCGTATTGCACCGAGAACAATGACTCCTCCACCTCCCGGTACGCACTACCGCGGGGGGTGTCAGCAGTCCCGGTTTGAGCAGAAGCGACAATCTGGGCAGAAGTGCTAACCCGGACACTTTTATCGTGCTCGGTAGCCCGTTGGAATAGGTACTTGACGCGTTCCATTTCGCTCTTAAACAAGTATTGGTCATCATAAGCGGCCGCGGCGCCAGCACGTGCTGACTCGGAGCCCTGGCCGCTGAAGAGGTAGCCGACATCGAGTACTTCTTCCGGCGCCTGTCGGTCGGGTACTTCGCTGGCTCGTCCGAGCATCAACCTTTCGGGTTCTTCGACGATGACGTGTGCATTTGTGCCACCAAAACCGAAGGACGAAATGCCCGCAAGTCGTTTTCGATAGGAAAGACCGCTAGGAAGTGGCACAGCCTGTCCGTCGCAGGGTATAGTCATTGGGAAGTTCTTCGTGTCGATGTGTGGATTCAATGTTTGAAAGTGCAGATTAGGTGGGACCAGTCCATGTCGGACGCACAAGACGGCCTTCAGAAGTCCAGTAAGACCGGCAGCGCCTTCGAGATGGCCGATGTTCGTCTTGATAGCGCCGAGAATTAAAGGGTAATCTGCGGTTCGGCCATGTGCGAAAACGGTCTTGAGTGCATTCACCTCGATCGGATCACCGAGAGAGGTGCCAGTGCCATGCGCCTCGACGTAGTTCAGGTCGCAAGGCTCCAGTTGCGCAGCGCGCAAGGCAGAACGAACCACTGCCTGCTGCGCCGGACCGTTCGGAGCGGTGAGAGAAGCCGCACGACCGCCGTGGTTGAGAGCAGTTCCGCGCAGGATTGCGAGAGTCTGGTCGCGATCGCGCACCGCACACGAGGCAAGTTTCAACACCACGGCTGCGAAGCCCTCGCCTCGAATGTATCCATTCGCAGCGGCGTCGAAAGTCTTGCAGCGCGCGTCCGGTGCCATCATGCGGGCTTTACAGAAGGCGACGAAGACTTGCGGCGCCAGGAGGAGATTCGCGCCTCCAACAACAGCGGCGGCGCAGCCGCCGCTGCGAAGGTCGTGTGCTGCGATGTGGAGAGCGACGAGCGAGGAAGAACACGCGGTGTCGACAGTTAAACTGGGACCGACAAGTCCTAGTGTGTAGGAAACTCGATTGGATACCATACTCGGCGCGGTTGCAGCAGCTGTATAACTACCGATCTGGGTCAGTCGGTCAACGAAGGACCACTCATTGCAACAACTTCCAACGTAAACACCGACGTCTGCCTTGGCGAGTTGTTCCCTTCTGATGCCGGCGTCGGTGACGGCCTGGTAAACACACTCCAGAAATCCGCGTTGGAGAGGGTCCATGGCGGCGGCTTCCGATGGGGAGACCTTGAAGGCGGGCGCGTCAAAGTACTCAGCGTCCGCGATGAAGCCGCCCTCCCGGACGTACATCTTGTTCTCTGCATCCGGATCGGCGCTGAAGAACTCGTCCGCGTCCCATCGGGAGGGCGGGACCTCAACCACGCAGTCGTCTCCTCGACGCAACGAACGCCAGAGCGCGTCCAAACTAGTTGCATTGCCCGGCAGATTGCAGGCGGCTCCTACAATCGCCAGTCCAGTCAACATTTCCAAGCCACCCTCGACTAGCGCGCTCGTCATACCCACACTAGGCGGAGCACGAAGCTGCGCACCACTCACCGTCAAAGACTGCGCCAAAAACTCAGACACGTCGCCCAACGTAGGGTAATTAAATAACAACGTCGGCTCCAGATCCACGCCCAACCATTCAGCTGCCCGATCTGCAAACTCCACAGCCGTCATAGAATCAACGCCCAACTCATGCAAAGGCGCATCGTACGCAGGAACTTCGTCAAAATTAGCCACCTCGAGACAACAGCGATCCAACACCGAGCGCACACGTTCCAGGTTAACTTCATACTCAGCGAAATCCATCATCGACAACTCTCGGGCTAAACCCTCTCCTTCCATTACCGCCGGCGCACACTCACTCGGGAACGCACCACCCAACGCGTACGGCGACTCACCCTCTTCAGGCGACCTGCCTTCCCGCGGCGAAGAGGGCTCCTCATTCGTTGGAAACGCGTTTGTGGGGAACGGGAAAGCGCGGTCAGGCGAAGTCGCCTGCCGCTCCACGTACTCATACTCCGCGTCCTCCGCGGCCGCGGCGGCAGCGGGAGATTTGGCCGATCGCTTAGTAGGTTCGCACTTGAAGTCGACTTCGAGCACAATTCCGGCCTGGCTTTTGGAGTTCTTATCAAGCAGTTGTTCCTTGGTCGGGTTTCGCCTGATTTTGCCGCTGCTGGTCTTGGGTATGCATCGTGGGTTGAGTAGCCACACCTTGCGAACAGGGAGTCCAAATTTTTGTGAGATGCACTTTTGTACTTGTCTCGCGACATGCTCATGTGTTTCCCTCAGTCTGCGTTGATTGTCCGCCCCTGTGACCTTGTCCAGGAGCGAGCCGAAATAGCCGGTAGCGGCGACAGTGGCTGTGCCACCAGGAGTGGTATCGATGGCTTTGGGTTCACGCAATTCAGCAGCGACGGCGACTTCCTCATCTTCGCCCTCATCTTGGTACATAAAGACCGCGATATTACCAGGCTTCAACTGCGGAATGCTCTCCAGACACTCCTCAAGATCCTGAGGGAAATAGTTACGACCACGGATAATAATCAGGTCCTTAATACGGCCACAAATAAATAACTCGCATTCGTGCAAGAAGCCTCGATCTCCAGTGCGTAGATATGCCTGGGCTGAGATGCGTCCACCCTCACCCAATGCGGGGTCACCGCCTTGGGTATCCAGTTGTTGGAACTGCGCAAAGAACTCCTCGCGGGTCTTCTCAGGCTCGCCAAAGTAACCGCGCGCAACACTATCGCCACCGACCCAGACCTCGCCAGTACGGTTGGAAGGACACTCGCTGAGTAGTTCCGGGTCCACAATGCGCACATCCATGCCGTGACACGGCCGTCCACAACCCACGTAGGTCAAGACAGCCTGACTGTCACCCACCTGGGCCAAGTCCTGGTTCCAGACGGCGGCTTCCACACACTGGACACACGGGTCCGCGCCTACCGGTCCTCTGCACTTGGCGCATCCATTTTCTTCCCGGAAGCGACCGGACCGAAGAACCTTAACGGTGCCTTGTGTTCGCAACAGTTCTGCATCAATTTGTACCACCAATGGGGGCGAAGCGGTATCCATGACGCCGGATACAATAAGTGTGTTTTCAGCCAAACCGAAACAAGGTTTGTACATGCCGTAGCGGAAGCCCTTGGATGCGAAGCTGTCGTGGAAGTGTTTTAGTGTGCTGGCACGAATAGGTTCAGCACCCGAGAGGAATCCAGACATCTTGGACAGGTCAAGGGTCCGGTAAGCGGCGAGGGCCTCTTTCGTTGCCTTGTCTCCGGTCATCTTCCTCGCTGTTACCTCAAACGCGAAATTGGGGGCTCCGCAGTACACACAGTTGTAATCACTCATCGCCTTGAGCCATACATGAGGTTTGCGGATAAAGTCGATGGGTGACATCTGGTAAAGAATACCACCAAAGAAAAGTGGAGAACACGTGAAGCCAATCAGGCCCATGTCATGATATACGGGCAGCCATGAGAATATCTTTAGTCGATGTCCGAACACGCGTTCGCTTATGCCGTGTCGCAATTTCCAGAACTCTTCCATCTCACTCAAGTAGTCAAACTGGTCGACACATATGGCTTCTTCATCAGGGGTCTCATACTTATTATGTAACCCGAATGCATGTATGGCGGCATGAACATTATGTAGTAAGCTACCGTGTGTAACCACCACACCCTTAGGTGATGATGTAGATCCGGAAGTGAATTGCAAGAAGACAACACTGTTTACATGTAACTCAGGTGCCTGCCAAGCGTAAGCATCTGCGTCCGAAACACTTTTGTAGGCCTCATTAATATCAATCCAGTTAATTTTCTTCCACCTTTTATCCACTCCTCTAGTCATAGATATAAACCTCGACCCATACTATACTCACCATGAGTGAAGGCTACACTAACATCAGCCTTATCCATAATATCACAGAAACGAGGTACTTCATAGTCCACACGACCTGGCTGAGGTGGGTAAACAGGGACCGCTATTACCCCCGAAATTATGCAACCAAAGAACGCAGTAATGAAATCAAGAGATGGAACGAAACATAACAGCACACGATCTTCACGACGTAACTTCTTACGACCTAAATAAACCGCAATCTTGCGACAACGCAAATTGCACTCAGCATAACTCAGTCGCTGCGCCTCCTCTCCTCGGTCGTTAATCCAACAAGACTGAGTAACATCCGGGATCTCTCTAGCCCACTTCGACAATGCACTTGCAAACGGGTTATTCCGGTACCGACGGAATAACGCCTTCAATTCCAAACTGTACTCCCGACGAGGTACCTGCGCCAATGGGGACACACGCGGCGCACTCAACTCCGTCCCAAACATCCACTCCGCAGGCGGCGTGCTCACTCCATCTCTGTTACTCATCACGCTCAACTCTCACACACACTGCTCAACGCAAGTCAAGTTAGTAACACGAGCTTAAAATTCAACAAAGCGAAACAACAAGTTCCTGTACAAATGCTCCGTTCAAAACTTCCTCTCCTAACTTCCGTTCACCCAATTCTTGACTGTGAAGAACTGAATCAAGAAGTTTTTGCTTTATTTCGATTTCCAGAATACCCAGCCTGATCCATGAAGTCTCCGATTTGATTCTGGCTTCCGGTTTTTCCGGCCTAACAGGCGAACGAGTAGGCTGCGCGCAGCGAGACAAAATAAAAGAGCTGAAAAGTGCTCGGGTGGGTCGGATAGTTTTAGGTTAATATCGGGCGGGGTCCTTTTGGAAACACCACACGGATTCCAGGACCCGTCGGAAGCAGGAACCTCGGCTCTGTACAGACACATGCAACCGCCCGAGGCCAGTCCGCGGGTCATCGTGTCCTCGCCAGGCGGTGGCAGCTCGCCGGACGCTTCGCCCCTGGCGACCCGGTGGGGGCCGAAACGCGTGATGCTCTCGCTCCGGTCTCAACACGTAGGCGCTCAACTGCGCGCACGCGTGCATCTCCGGCACGGAACCGACAACATCGAGAATCACGCCCCCGACTCGCCGCTCACGAGCGACTCCCCTCTCTCTGCTGACGAAAACTTGAGTCGAGACAACTTGAGTGAGGACGACGAATTGAGTGAGGACGGCGACCTGAGTGAGGAAGACCACTTGAGTGAGGAAGAAGACAAATTGGGTGAAGAAGACTTGAGAGGGGACCACTTGAGTGAGGATCCGCTCCCTGGGAGTGAGGACTCGCTGACTGGGAGTGAGGACTCGCTGACTGGGAGTGAGGACGACTCGCCGCTTTTGAGCGCGGACTCAAAAGCCGCAGGTCGGCCGACCGAGTCGCGGCGGGTGCTGGGGGCGCGGCGGCCTTCCGAGACTCGACGAGTGATAGTGGTGTCCAGTAGTAGCGAAGACGACCTGGCGGTGTGCGTAGAAAGCGAGGAAGACCGCGTCACGGGTGGGCAGAAACGCGGAGAGCCCAAGCCCGCTGGTCGGCGGTACTCTTTCAAACGGCGACGAGGTCGGGCCGTGCCCTACACCTTCACTCCCCCCGTAAGCGCCCCCACCCCCTACCCCCCCACCCGTTCGATTTTCTGAGTTGGTGTTTGCAGGCTGAAGAGGGCGACGCGCGATACTTAAAGGTACCAGTGGTGGGCGGCGGTGTTGAAGTTGGTCCGTCGACGATTGCGGGTGGTGGGAGTGGGTTATTTACGGCGCGTGCATTCCGGAAGGGAGAGTTGGTGACAGAATATGTGGGCGAGATTTTAGACCGGGCGGAGGCAGAGCGTCGGTGCAGTGTGGGTCAGTTTCAGTATATTGGTACGCTACAGGCGCAGCAGTATTACATTGATGGGTTACGTGTCCCGGAGGCAGGACGTGGTGGTGCGAGTTTCATCAATCATGCCCAACCGAAACTGGCTAACGCCGCCTGGGTCGAAGTCGCCGATCGTCGTCTCTGCTTCCCTCGCAAATTCGCTCGTGCCACACGCGCCCTTGCACCGGGCACGGAAGTCTTCATCAACTACGGCAAAACCTACTGGCGTCGCATGAAAAGATGGCACGACTCCATCCAGCGCCAGGGTCTCGACAACCTCAGTGACTACCAAGGCAGTGACCTCGATGACTTCGTTTGCGACTACGACGATTTTATCAGCAAACCCTACCTACCTCTCACTAGCTAGGAAATTCGTTCGTGTGCACACGCGTGTGCACACGCGTGTGCACATGTTGGATAGGAAGATACACGGGAATATCGACGTGTGATGAGAACACCCAGGCTGCGCAGACAACACAAAGGGGCAAAGCGCTCCGGTGTGTTCACACACGGGAGAGGAAGAAACGCGCGGGCACGTAGACTGAGGGGCACGCATTAGGTGCAGCATATTTTCGGAACAACATGGGACCACGTGTGAAGTTTGCTGTAGATCCTGCGGCGTCGGAAATGCTGGACAAGCAGTTAATTTCGAATGACCTGGGTGGTCGTGAGCGTATCGGGTATATGATTTTCAAATTGGGGAATGAGTCCTGGGACTTGGTGGATCACGGAAAGCATGGTGCGGGTTTGCTCCAGAAGTTGGTGGATGCCTGCCCGGCTAACCAAGGTCGGCATTTGATCTTCCGGTCGGCAGACGATGCCACGGACGTATGGGTCAAGTACATCCCTGACGAGTGTGGGGTCAAGGAGAAGACGTACTTCGCCACCGCCTCGGACTCCCTCTTTGACGATACCCGCGGCTGCAAGAAGAAGCTCGAGTGTCGTGAAAAGGACGAACTCAAAGAAACTCTCGCCCAGTACCTCTAATTTTTACTTCGCACGCAACTTCATCCATACTTCGGACCTCATCACCTCTGAGAGAAAACTCCAACTTGAGCCTGTAGGACCGCTCGGGACATGGCGCTTGATTTATCAGGGTTAGGGTTCAGGTCGTGGGGAAAAAAGTACACCCAGCAACGCTCTTCTTCGTCGTCACTATTGCTGCCGCTTAAGGACGGGTCCAAGGTGTACAGGGGTTCGTAGTGCTCAAAATGGCAATAGACAGAGCAATGATCAAGCCTAAACACATCGTGGGGGCGGGAAGAGACCGTGGGGGCGGGAAGAGACCGTGGGGGCGGGATGGTGTTTGGATTGGACCAACAGCGAAAGCGGAGGGA